TTTCCTTAGTTAATTTTGTGAATACATTTTGTTTAGTAAGAAGGAAAATTACTGAAAATATAATCGAGCATAGTAGTGCATAATCGACGTGTATATGTCCAAGGCATGAAGAAAAGTTTCACATGCATTGTCTCGAGACAGAGAAACTTGACAAAAAAACAAAAGCATGAAAGTTGAAATTTTAAAATTAAACATGAAATCTTGCAATTTCACATTGAAATAAAAAAGAAGATAATAATTTGCTTTTTGCATGACTTGGAAAGTTTGCTTATAAAGGAAACAAGATGTTTTGATATGCCAAAAATGGGCATGTAAGAACATGCAAAGAAGAAAAGAAAAGCATCGATCGGATAACATTTTGATAAAAGAGAAAAATATCTACATTTTAAAATTAAAGAAAAAAAAATGTAGGGTTGAAGAAAGAGGAGACTTAACATTCTAGTGAGAGAAACCCCTAGTTTCTTTTTTTAAAGTAAAATTATATGTATAAATATAAATTTCAATCTCGATCAAGCAATTTTTTTCATATATTTAAGAAAGAAAATATGCTAAAATTAAATAAAATTCACATATGATAATTAGACTTAAACCCGAGGTTTAAAAACTTTTAAACCTCTTTCAATCCGTCACACTAAGACAAATGGTCATCCGTGAACCTTTAAATAAACTTTTGAAATTGGAAATATTCTAAAACCAAGCGGCAAAGAAAAGTTTTCTCTGAAAAAATATTCGGGGACCCATATATCAAGTTGGTATTATACTATTCAAGTGGACCCAAAATTTGTCAAAAGGCTCGATTATGGTGACGGTCCAATTGCAAGACTAATTGACCAAATATTGGCTCCAGCTTTTGAGCCCATTAGAGAAATCTATAGAATAATATTCATATATTTATATCATATAAAATATTATATTTTACACAAAAATTATATATTATAATTCATATTAATACGAAATATAATATATATTATTTATTTTATTAAATTCATATATATTTATTATTATAATTTTAAATTTTATTACTTTTATATTTTATTTTCGTAACGTATTATTGTATCATATTTTAAATTATTAGGTCTAATTTTTTTATTTTTCTTGTTAGTTTTAGAGTGATGGAGAATTTGCAATTCATAGAATACGTTTGATATTTATTTTATATTAAATAAATGTAAAATAAAAAAATTATTATATCATAATTTGTAAAAAATGTTAAATATAAAATATATTTTATTAATTTTTATTATATTATTTTATACAATACTTTTGTATACTTTTAGGTCTAATTAGGGGCGGCGCCATCGAAATTAAGACAGTTGCTATCAAGGCATCTAATTTTTGACATTATCCATTACTTTCCATGTCATGGTTTCACTTTAGATTTTTATTTTTAAAAAATCTAAAAGTAAATATATTTATTTTATAAACATGATTTATTCTTTTGGTGATTGAAAATAAATAAGTGGAATTAAAATGGTTGACAGAAGAATGTACATACCCATATGTCATATTTGAAATTGACCACTATTCTAATTTAAACATAAAAAATAGTTGATTTTATACATTATAAGTAAAGTTTTTAAATTTCATGAGCAATATTAAAATTAATGTCATTGCATGTTCCATTACTTTTTATACAAATTTCTTAATTTTTAAAAAATATATTCTAATATAGTATGTAACAATAATTTAATCCTGTTGGTGGAGATTTTAAACTTCATTGACGATAATATAAGTCTAATAATTTAAAATATTATATGATGATAATATAATATAATAATAATAAAAAAATTAAAATAATACGAATAAAAATTTTAATAAAAATTATATATAAAAACTTAACAAAAATAAAAAATATATATTTTATATTTTTTTATGTTAAAATAAATTATGAAAATTTTTTTTTAAAATATGATATAAATATATAAATTATCATTATTTTATAAGATATGAATACTAAGAATAGTCTAAAATAAGATTAATTGTTTTATTAAAAAAAATGAAACCATTAAAGCCCTAAATGTAGGCCTGAAGCCCATTTATCAAAATTGGCATTAGATTCATTCAAAGTTTCTGCAGCGTATTTTTCGAAGTGTAGGGCTGATATCTTGAAAGGCCCATGTTTTGAAGATCGGAGGTTAGAAAGGACAAAAAAAACAGCTAACTTGTGCAGTTTGGATGCAAGCTTAGTCGATACTCAATAGGCATAAATAGAGATGTAATCGAGTCGAATCGATTCAGTAAAAAATTTGAGTTTGAGCTCGACTTTTAATTTTTAGTTCGATATTTGATTCGAATTCGATTGAATTTTTATTTTTTTAGTTTGAACTTGATTCGTTATCAAAATCAAATTACTCGAACTCACTTGATTAAGCTCGATTAATATGTTAAAATAAGCTCGATTTTTATATTCGATAAGAGTTTGATTATTTATACTTGAACTTGAATTCGAATTTGAGATATTTTATTAATTAAAATAATAAAAAAATTTAAATATAAAAGTTCGATTATGCTCACGAACTACTCGAATCGGGTATAAAAATACTTGAACTCGACTTGATCAATAAGTCGAGCTACTGAAGTTCGAGCTCGACTCAATAATAAATGAACCGAATTCAAATTTTATTTGAATCGAACCCGACTAATTTGTGAATACTAAATCATTTACACCTTAGACACAAATTCTTTGCAAAATTACGAATTTGTGAAAAATTAAGATTCTTGATTTTTCAATGATATTATTTATGTATGTTTTTCAAGAAGATTAATTAATTATTTCGTTAGGCTACTCTTTTGTGCAAAAACAAATGTACGTACGAAAAATATAACAAAAAAAATTATGCCTGTGGTTTTCAAATTTGAGAGCGCACATTATTTTAATCCTTAAATTTTAAAATGCAACTCGTTGATTGCCAACATGAAATTCCTTAATTCTTTTTTTTTCTATAAACAAAATACAATTTGACCAGTAGATGCTGAATTTTTAGTTCCAATAAGTAAGATTCGATATATCTATTATAGCTCTAATTATATATATATATATATATATATATATATATAAACAACTTAGTAATCAAAATTGCATAAAATTATTTGAAAAAAAAAAGAAATTAAATCCTCCTCAAAACAAATTTACCCGAGATATAACTTTTTTGCTATATTTAAGCTGCTTCCACCCCAAATAAACTATACTCCCTAGGTATCATTGAGGAATTTAAAAAAAAAAAAAAAAAAACCCCATAACTCGCAAACTCTACAACTTTATAAATCTCGGATTTTTAGGATATTTTTAATTAAGACTATTATTATTAATTAAATATAATTAGCGGTAAAAGACTTTAATTATATTGAATTATCTTGTTTTTTGGTGCATATATTGAATTACTTTGATCACATGAGAATGGTTTACTTCCAATGTAATAGTAATTCATATTTAAATTATAAAAATAAATTTCATTTTAATTTTCTTCATATCCATCAACCGTTGGCATTTTTATTCCTTACTATTAATTATATTTTATATTTGATAAAATAGAGTTTTAGTTTTTATTTAATTCTTTCACTTACTATAATTTATATTACAATTTACTCTATCTTATAAAATAGAGTCCTAATTTTATATTTTATTTTCTTACCGTCAAACATTTAAAATTTTGACTATTGATATTTTAAATATTTTATAAATTCATTTTTTGTAAAATGATTTTGAAAATATATTTATCCAAAGTTTTTGAAAAGCAATTTTTCATATATTAGTTACTAATATATTTTTAAAAATGAAGTTAAATTAGAAAAATCTAACTATATAAAATTATAATGAGTCAAAATATCTGATTTCGTCAAAATTTTATATAGAAAATCTAGAAGATAGATATATATAAATCATAAATAGATATATATAAATCATAAATAGATGTAAATGTAGATATATATATATAATAAAATATATATTATAATAGATTTCATCTTTGCAACAAAAAGTCATAATATTATCAAGCATCGACATTTTTATTTATAAATATTAATTAAATCTCTTATAGATAGTTAGGTTTTTGTTTGATATAAATGAGAATTCTAATTCATATTAAATTCTTTCACGTCAAGAAATATTCTAATCTTGTTGTAACATCTAAAGAGAGTTGAAATCTATCGGCAGTTGAGCTCACCTCCGAATCCAACTCCAACTCTAAGGAGCTACTAATATATATAAATGTTCATTCAGCTCGTCTTTTTTTCATATCCACTTCTTGAGTTCTAATATTAACCCAGCTAGCTTTTGCTGGTATGATCATATTTGTTTCTACAGTTAATTCTTCCCTAGATATCATGCATGTTTAACATGTATTTTTTTTTTTTTTGTTTTATCTTTTTTTTTTTATGATAGTTATAGATTCAACCAACCACGACCGTAATTAAATTGGGAATTTTTTTTTGTCATTAACAGAAGTTTTTACTCAATTTAATCTATTTTGAGTTGTCTTGAAACCTGTTTTCTAAATAATTTGCTGTTTATATATGGTTTTCTTTTTCAATTTCTCAAAATTATATATATATATATATACATATTTTTGTGTCCAATTAAGGCCAAATTTGTTTGAAACTAAATTAATTTTTAACCCCTTTTTAATGATTATGGTTTGACCACTTAAGAATTTTTATCAAGCAGAAACGATGCCTTATTCATTTAACATAAACTATTTATACAAACTATAAAATATTTCCTCTTGCTGTAAATAATGTTTGAGTTCTGACTTTTATTTTTTTTTTTTGTCAATTTGATTATTGATATTTTAATATTTTATTAGATTAAAATTTTTATAAAAATATATTTAAAAACCAATTTATTAAAAGTTTTTGAAAAATAAAATTTTATATTATTAAATATTAATATATTTTAAATAAAATAAAATTTAATTAGAAAAAAAGTTTGATAAAAAGAGTCTGTATAACATTATTTGTGATTCACTTTTATAATTAATTTTTTGGCTGTAGTTTTCAGATTCTACAAGGATGGATTTCAGAGGCGTAATCTTTGGCATAATATTTCTGTCGTGGTTTTCACTTCCACTCTCATTGGCGGCAGATAATGTTGAAGTTGTGATTGAAGGAGCAACTTCAATAGCTAAAACGGATGATAATTTTGTTTGTGTTACAATTGATTGGTGGCCTCCTGAGAAGTGTGACTATAACCAGTGTCCTTGGGGAAAGTCTGGACTTTTCCATTTGGTAATAATAATAATAATTTATTCTCTTTGATTTCAGTATAAATATTTTCTTTAAATCTAACATGTTTATTTGTTTTTGGGACAAATTTTCTTTTGTAGGATTTGAAAAACAAGATTATGGAAAATGCTATAAAGGGTGAGTTTTGAAGCTATTTTATTGAAATTCATGAGTATATATATTTTCATTGATAATAACAGTTTCAGCCTAACTGTGGTAAACTATATTTTTCAGCATTCAATCCATTGAGAATCAGAATTGGAGGTTCATTGCAAGACCAATTGGTGTACAACGTTGGAAATAAGATTAAGAGATGCCATCATTTCAAGAAAAAAGAGAAGGGTTTTCTGTTTGGATTCTCAAAAGGGTGCCTTGACATGAAGAGATGGGATCAACTTAATGAATTTTTCAACCGAACTGGGTATTAAATCATTTACTCTAATTACATTATACTCAACCTTTGGTATTTTTTCGTTTTCAAAACATTAACCAGATATGATCTCTGTTAAACTCATGTTTTTTGCAGAGCAAAGATTACATTCAGCTTGAATGCTCTTATAGGAAGAAAAAAGTCTAAAACTGAGAAGGATCTTTGGGTTGGTGATTGGAATCCACAAAATACTCGGGATCTCATGAAGTACTCTATTTCCAAAGGATACAAAATCGATTCATATGAACTTGGTAAGTAAATATAAGATTGACTTTGATATTTTACAAATTTTGGTCCACATTTTCATGATGAATACAATGTTTTAACAGGAAATGAACTTTGTGGATCTGGGGTATCTGCAAGGGTGGAGGCTAAACAATATGGCAAAGATGTTGTAGTACTTAAGAATCTCGTGAAAGAGTTGTACCCGAATGTCAGTACCCAACCAAAGGTTCTGGGCCCTGGAGGCTTTTACGAAGAGGAATGGTTTAACACCTTTTTGAAAGCCACAGGACCAGATGTCCTTGATGGAGTCACACACCATATCTACAATCTTGGACCTGGTATATATTCATTTATATTTACGTTAATTCAATGTTTCTCAGAAAATCCGGTACATATACTTGGTTCTTTTGAATGATGAATGCAGGTGATAGTCCAGACCTGATTAAGAATGTTCAGGATCCATTTTACCTAAGTCGAATTGCTCAGACATTTAAAGATGTTTCAAACGCCGTCGACAAGCTTGCACCATGGTCAGGAGCTTGGATTGGGGAATCAGGTGGAGCTTATAACAGTGGTGGCAAAGATGTTTCCCGTACCTTTGCCGATGGATTTTGGTATGGGTTTTATTCATGTCCAATCACCCACTAATATTTGTGTATGGCAGATTAAAAATCAGCGATTAACTTTTGAATCTGACAGGTTTTTCGACCAGCTGGGGATGACATCCATTTACAACCACAAGGTTTACTGCAGACAAGCTTTGATTGGTGGAAACTATGCTCTCCTTAATACTACAACATTTATTCCCAATCCAGATTACTATGGGTTAGTATCCAATAATATTCTTATCTTATAATATTTTTGGTACATATGATCTTAGACTACATAATAAAATGTATTTCTCCGGTCACATAAATCTCATCTCGAAATCATAATTAGTTCTAACTGTTAGGGTGTATCTTTGTAAATTATATATATTTTGATACAAAAGATAACAGAGCAAACACTTTAGATATCATATTTTAAAAATCAACTGATCTAACTTCGGGTTCCAGTTATATATTTCACTCTTCAGGCATATGTTTAATTGCATTAACAGTTCGTATGCTTTCCTTCTAATATGTTACAATATTTTGGGCAGTGCACTTCTGTGGAACCAGGTTATGGGAAGTAAAGTACTCTCTGCAACTCACAATGGTTCTCCATATTTGCGTGTATATTCTCATTGTGCAAAGAAAAAGGTAAGCTTCTGACTGATCAAAATTTACTAATATCCAATCTTGTCTTTTATTTCCTATTAAAAATTGATCATTCTAATTTTTTTTTGTTGGGTTGACAGCCTGGGATTTCTCTCATTTTCATCAATTTGTCAAAAAACAACACCTTCGTGATCAAGCTTTCGCATGATCAAAACCTGCATGTGAGGCCTAATGTTAGATTCGAAGGTGGCGATAAAAGAGAAGAGTACCATTTGACTCCCAAAAATGGAAACATTCAAAGTGATGTTGTTTTGTTGAATGGAACTCCATTGGTACTCTCAGATTCATTGAACATTCCCCAGCTGAATCCAAAGCTTGTGGATGCTTCCACTCCAATCACTATTGCTCCCCATTCAATTGTATATGTTACTATAAAAGACTTCAATGCGCCTGCCTGCGCTTAGAATCTTTTCTTTCTATTGTTTAGGAACAAGAATGGTTTTTTAGTATTTTAGTTAGGTTTTGAGCTAGGTTTCCATTTATGTAGTGTAATTAGTTCTCCTTTTTTTTTTTTAAAATTTCTTGGCTTGTAATTCGTTTTCCTAACTGTTATGAGGAATAATTAAGTCATTTGATTATTGGGCCATTTTCTTTTGTTTTTATTCTAAGATTATGGTTTTTTTTTTTTTGTTATTTTATTTTAATGAGAGAGATTTAAATTCATGCATTGAGTGGAGAAATACATACATTTATTATATATTTATCATTTTTAAATCTGTTTATAAAAAAAATGCTAACATGTTATTATGTTTTTAACATAAACAATACATGATCTTATAAATACTATTGTAATTTGATTTTTTATGGTAAATTTTTTTATTTTGATTTGATTTGATTTTAAATATATTATTAATTAAAATATACAAAATATTATAAAAACATTGAATAAAGAGATTTTTAAATATATTTTTAGTAAAATATTTAAAATATCAATAATTATTATTATTATTTTTAAATATGACTGCAAAAGACTATTTTATAAAATTGGAAGGAGCCTAAGTTTTAAAAGAGGTTCGGCTTTAGGCATGGAAAGCCGTTAAGTCTGCGTCTGAAGTCTGAACCACCAATTTATTTTACTATTTTACCCTTTATATTTCCTTTCCCACTTTCCCTCCCATATTCAATTCAGAGAGAGAGATAGAGAGTGTGGGTTTTTCTATTTTTTATTGCGAGGGTAAGGTTTTAGCTCAGTCTTCACAATAGAAAATCTTAGCATTCTCGACACAGAAACCGCCGTCGTTTCAGGTACTTCGATTCCTTTAAACGCCTCTCTGTTTCATGATTTTTCCCCGAGTTTTGTTGGATTTTTTTAGTTCTTTTTTGAATAAAATTTGTCAATTGTTTACAAGCATTATTTCTTTCTCCTCGAAGGTGATTTTACCGAATCTTTGGAATCCTTTTCTTGTTCTTTTCGTTAAATTTTCTAATTGTAAATCTTAGAAGATTCTGATGGGGAATCGCATTTTTCCATGAATTGGATTGGGGAACGAACCCTAATCCTAGAATGTAATTTTTCTGCATAAAAATTAAATAAACTGATTACTGATTTGGGTTTCTTTTTATCTTTTCTGTAAATTACACTTTAGAATTGGGGTTCTGTAAATTGGTTGTGAGATTAGAATCTCTTAGTTAGTTTATTTGGACGATTAATTAGTAAATGCTGGAATGATGACATTTGATTTGCTGCTAATGCAGCTGTTTCGTTTGATTTCTCTGAGTTGGTGTAGAGGTTAAGAAGATGTTTTGCTCGGTTTGGAATTGCATATGGAGGATTGGGTGTTTGGACAGGCTTATATTTGTTGAATGACTTAAAAGATCTGTTTGGATTTCAGTTAATGAGCTCAGAGTTAAGGATATGGAAAACGGATCTTTGATCAGTAATGCACCAAGGAAAGGGCTTAGTGACATAACCAACTTGCAGCACTGGCCTAAAGGGTTGACCCAAGGTGCAAAGCTACAGCAGCAACCTGCTTCACTCAGGAGTAAAGATTACATTGACAAACTCCAAGACGTATACTTTAATCTGCAATTAACTCACTTTTCTTTCCTTTGGTTTTGCTCCCTTGGATTCTTTTTGTGTTCCTTTAGCTTACTGAGTGGTTTTATTTAATCTGTCTTCCAGGAAAATATGACACTGATGAAAGTTCTTGCAGACCGAAAGTATCCTCTATGATCGATTTTATTTGGTTTCTTTCACTTCTCTAACCAATAACCATTGCTTGCTGTCATTTATGTCTGGCATGACTTTCTTCTTCATGGGTTTTTCTTAATGTTGGCTGATAGTAAAGTCATTGAATTGAGTGGAATTGAGTTGCAGAATTTGAGAATCAATTTGGAGAAGATTCAGCAACAGAACTTGCTACTTGCCCAAGCAAACAGCCAGATGTTAGCGGTACCTTAGTACTTTTTGCAGTTGTCTGTTTCTCAGTTTAGTAACTCTAGGGGGAATATTTTTATGATATTATGATCCTCTGATGAGGTTGATGCCTTACTTTGGTTTTGCAGGAACTTAATTCAGGCAAAGATAGGGTACATTTTCAGGACATCTAAGTTTCTTTTACTTGGTCCTGATAAGTCCTTTTTGTGCTATTGTATATTTTTGGGACTTGACCAGTGAGTTCTTTTCATTTTCAGCTAAAAGCCCTTAAACATGAGCTGGGATGTAAAAATGCTGTGCTTAAAGTAATAAAGTCAGAGGTATTTTTTGGAATAGTCTACTCATCTAAGTGCATGATAGTCAGGTTATGATTATATTATGTTGTTGATTATTAAATCTTTGTGTTTGTCACCAGAAGAAAGCTAAACATGTGGCATGCCCAACATCTGGAATGAGTTATTAAATAGAATAATTTCCAGCATCTAGATTGATTCTTGTTATCAACATCATGTTAGTTACAGATTTTTTTTCCCATGGTTTGAAGGTGGGAACAAACAAGTATAGCAAGGCAGGTGAATCCCCTGAAGAAGAAGACGGAGAGGATAACCTTGTGATACAAACAGGTGTGGCAAGGCAGCTGAATCCCTTAAAGAAGAAGATGGAAAGAATAAACCTTGTAATACAAACAGGAGGCGGCAATCAAAAAGCCTATGTAACTTGCTTGATAGAAACTTTATTGAAAATTGTTAATGTTGTTCATTATACCATCTTCACTTATTACTTGCATGCTGCTTCAGGCCCTTCTAATATTAAACCAGTCCAAGCCAAGGAGGGGGTGGACAACAAAAGGTTTTTGTATATCTTTTATTGCTTTCTGCAAATTATTGTTCCAATAACAGTTGGAAATTTATTTAAAAACTTCACAATGACAAAGGAAATTTATGGTTTCTTTTATGTTTTTCTAGCAGGGTATGTTTAAGAAGGCAATCTAATAGGTTTAAAGCCCAAGAACCAGAAACGTCTGGAGATGTGTTTGAGGTAGATGATACAAAATTGCTTGTTTCTTCTTCCTGTGATGATAAGGTGCATGAGAGTGGTCCTTCTAATATTAAACCAGTCCAAGCCGAGGGGGTCCACAACAAAAGGTTTTTTCTACACTTTTATTGCTTTGTGCTAATATATTTTTTTTCCATTAACAGTGTAAACTTTAGGTTTTTATTTGAAAGCTTCACAACTACAAGGGAAATTTATGGTTTCTTTTATGTTTTTCTAGCAGGGTATCTTTAAGAAGGCAATCTGCTAGGTTTAAAGGCCAAGAACCAGAAACAACTGAAGATGTGTTTGAGGTAGATGATACAAAATTGCTTGTTTCTTCTTCCTGTGATGATAAGGTGCATGAGAGTGGCCCTTCTAATATTAAACCAGTCCAAGACAAGGAGGGGTTCCACAACAAAAGGTTTTTTGTGCATTTTCTATTGCTTTGTGCAAATATTTTTTCCAATAACAGTGTAATCTTTGGATTTTTTATTTGAAACCTCACAACGAAAAGGAAATTTGTGGTTTCTTTTATGTTTTTCTAGCAGGAAAAGGTCTAAGAAGGCAATCTGCTAGGTTTAAAGCCCAAGAACCAGAATCAACTGAAGATGTGTTTGAGGTAGATGATAAAGAATGTCTTGTTTCTTCTTCCTGTGATGATAAGGTGCATGAGAGTGGTCCAATATCTTCTGGTTCATCAGTCAAAAGTGAACACGTAGAAGGAAGTATGATCCCTAGAAATGAAGCTCAAGAACTTAGAAGGATATCTGTGGGAAGGCCTTTGCGCAGAGCAGCTGAGAAGGTCCAATCCTACAAGGAAATTCCACTTAATGTGAAGATGCGAAGAGAAGAGTGAGTTCATTATCTTTGCTTCTACCCTGCATTTTTCTAAGGGTATATTTTGCAGAAGGTCTTGTTTCTTCTTTGCAGGGTAGATGATAAAGAATGTCTTGTTTCTTCTTCCTGTGATGATAAGGTGCATGAAAGTGGTCCAATATCTTCTGGTTCATCAGTCAAAAGTGAACACGTAGAAGGAAGTATGATCCCTAGAAATGAAGCTCAAGAACTTAGAAGGATATCTGTGGGAAGGCCTTTGCGCAGAGCAGCTGAGAAGGTCCAATCATACAAGGAAATTCCACTTAATGTGAAGATGCGAAGAGAAGAGTGAATTCATTATCTTTGCTTCTACCCTGCATTTTTCTAAGGGTATATTTTGCAGAAGGTTGAGAATTGAGATGCATCTAATTTCTATGTACCACAATGGTGTTGTTTCTGTATAATCTGTTATTGTAAAACTGTCCTTGTTCTGTTTGGCCCTAATTGCTTCTAACTTCTTTACATTTCTAAGCCAATGCATCATCCGTGAATGACAATTGGAAACGCCTGAAATTGACTTCCAAGTAGTTAACTGGGTTGTATTTGAATAGTCTGTACAAGTTTGGTATACATTTGCAGGTTGAATGTGTTATCCTTTTTTCAAATAAGTTTTTGTGATGGTAAGATTGTGTGGGAGTCCTGAAAGAGAATTCTCCTAAAAATTTTCAAATGACTCGTATCAACTGTTCTAAGTCTTATATTTATGTTTTAGGGTTGAGATCTCCTTGCTATTGTCTATTACTTTATTATTATTATTATTAAAAAGATGGCAGTCTCAAAAATAAGGGAGGAGCCGGGGATGGTGGATTCACGTGCATGGATGGTTATTAGGAATTATGGATAGTAATGAATTTTAGTAATGTCATGGGCTATGGCAGTTGGGCCCTTAGCAATTGTTTTGCAAGTTGGGTAGGCTCTAAAGAAATAGGCTGGCTTTATGTCTAGACTATAGTAGTCTGGCTAGTGGCTACATTCTTTTCCTGGGCATTGGATCCACCTGGATTCAACCCAATTCAAGTATCAAGTCGAAGAAAAAAATTACTAATAATAGAGTATAAAGAAAAAAGACGCATAATTGTATTCAGACAATTGCATGTTAACTACAGATTGTATGAC